AGATAGTGAGATTTTCTGTTTCCACTAAAACCCATTGGGAGTTCAAAACACTCATTATCAAACAATCACATCTTCACTCTGGTACCATCCATGCATAGAAAGAATTGTTCATCTTCTTCACAACATTTCTTCCCACAAAACAAAAGCATGCTACATGGGAGCATGAGAAAGGTATGTAGTATCACAACTCAGATGGGACTAGTCGATTAACTTAATAATCTATTCTGTAGAAAATCCAGTTTGCTGAGCTTGCAGACCTAAATCCTTTCACTGCAACACAGTTGTTTTATTTTGAAATTCAAATTTTCACATTGACAGGTTTAAATTAGATGAAGACACTTTAAGGTTAAGAAAGAGGCTTAAGAACAACTAAAAGGAAAAGGAAATGTGGACTGGACGGGCAGGCAACACCTTAGATTTGCGCTTATGTCTGACTAGACAGTAATCAAACAGTCCTGATCTCTGCTATGGAAATGCAGAGCCAGCTGTCCACCCAGCAGATGCCAAGGTGACAGAGGCTTAAGCCTTACGAAGAAATAAGGAGGCTAAGTATAGAAAATTCGGATTCTAGGTATTCCGTATTACCAAAACAAACACTGAAGTTCAATATATTATATTGACATCATATTTATATGATATATTACAATTGAAATGATTTTGTCTTATTAGTTATCATAAAGCTAGAAGCATTGAATCAGTTTCACAATATACTGCATGTACTCTACTAACCATTTTTAGAATCATAGAATCACTAAGGTTGGAAAAGACCTCTAAGATCAAGTCCAACCATTGACCCAGCACCACTATACCATATCCCCAAGTGCCACATCCACATGCTTTTTGAAAACTTCTACTTTCTTGTAGTGAGGGACCCAGAACTGACCCCAGTGCTGAGTACATGGGGAAGGTCACTTCCCTGGTCCTGCTGGTCACAGTATTTCTGATACAAGTCAGGATGCCATTGGCCTTCTTGGCCACCTGGACACATGTTGGCTCATGTCCAAACAGCTGTTGACCAGCACCCCGAGGTCCTTTTCTGCTGGGCAGCTTTTCAGCAACTCTGCCCCCAGCCTGTTGCACTGCATGGGATTGCTGTGACCCAAGTGCAGGACCTGGTACTTTGCCTTGTTGAACCTCATACAATTGGCCTCAGCCCACTAATCCAGCCTGTCCAGATCCTTCTGCAGAGCCTTCCTTCCCTCCAGCAATCAACACTCCAGCCCAACTTGGTGTCAACTGCAAATTTACTGAGGGTGCACTCGGTCCTCTCAACCAGATTACTGATAAACAGAACTGGCCCCAATACCTAACCCTGGGGAACATCATTAGTGACCAGCCACCAGCGGGATTTAACTCCATTCACCACCACTCTCTGGGCCTGGCCATCCAGCCAGTTTTCTACCCAGCCAACAGTGTACCCATCTAAGCCACGAGTAGCCAGTTTCTCCAGGAGAATGTTGTGGGAGACAGTGTTAAAGGCTTTATTAAAGTTCAGGTAGACGACATCCATAGGCTTTCTCTCATCCACTAGGCAGGTCACCCTGTCATAGGGAGATCAGGTTGGTCAAGCAGTACCTGCCTTTCATAGTCCCATGCTGGCTGGGCCTGATGACCTGGTTGTCCTGTACCTGGCACATGATGGCACTCAAGATGATCTGCTCAGTGACCTTCCCCAGCACCAAGGTCAGGCTGACAGACCTTAATTTCCCCAGATACTTCATCTGACCCTTCTTGTAGGTGGCTAGCCAGGACTGCTCATAAATGATTGAAAGGGGCTTGGTGAGCACTTCTGTCAGCTCCCTCAGTACCCTTGGGTGGATTCCATCCAGGTCCATGGACTTGTGTGTGTCTAAGTGGTGTAGCAGGTTGCTGACCATTTGCCCTTGGATTATGTGGGCTTCATTCTGCTTCTTGTCCCTGTCTTCCAGCTCAGGGGGCTGGGTACCCTGAGAACAACCGGTCTTGTTATTAAAGACTGAGGCAAAGGCAGCATTAAGTACCTCAGCCTTTTCCTCATCCTTTCTCACTATGTTTCCCCACACACCCAATTAAGGATATTCTCCTTATCCCTCCTTTTGCTGCTGATATATTTATAGAAACATTTTTTATTGTCTTTTATGGCAGTAGACAGATTAAGTTCTAGCTGGGCTTTGGCCCTTCTAATTTCCTCCCAACATCCTTGTAGTCCTCCAAGTTGCCTGCCCCTTCTTCCAAAGTTAATACACTCTTTTTCTTTTGAGTTCCAGCCAAAGTTCTTTGTTCAGCCAGGCCTGTGGTCTTCCCCGTCGGCTTGTCTTTCAGCACATGGGGACAGCCTGCTCCTCCACCTTTAGGATTTCCTTCTTGAACAATGTCCAACCTTCCTGGGCCCCTTTGCCCTTCAGGACTGCCTCCCAAGGGACTCCATCAACCAGTCTCCTAAACATGCTAGTGTCTACAGCACCAAGACTGAAATACTCATTATCAGGGGTTTTCCCCCTCAGTGAACATCATATTTTCACCACAGTGTCAATACCATTTCTGCTATTTTCAGTGGATATAATTTCTTAAAATTATATTGTTCTACAGTGAAGCAATAACACAATGGCCCAGCAAATATTCCTCTAGAAAGCAACCAGTAAGATAACCCTGAGCAGGTAGCTTAAAACAGAGAGAGAGAGCACGTTCCACAAATATTAGCTGACCCCTAGATTACTACACACACTGCATTAAACATTTTTGAAAAAGGGTTCTGTAGTGATTACCAGCCATCTATTTACTTGCAGCTTAAGTGCTTTATTCCACATTTGACTATTCTGTGTAACAGAAAAGAAAGACTACCAGATAAAATGACAGGAAGATTTTTATTATTATTTTTACTAATATCCAAAGAAAGGAGGACATGCATCCCTGAAATACTGAGAAGTAAATTACACAACTTTATACAATTCCCTGCAGATTTCAAGGGTTTTGTCATGGTTTAGGAGTGGCAGTCCCTAATTTAGTGCCCCCTCCCCTCCACTTGCTCACCTCCCTCTGGTGGGAGATACAAAATGCAGAGATTACTGGTTGAAATAAAACAATTTACTGGAAACAGCAATGAGATAAGAAAATCAACAGTAATAGTAACATTATTAATAACAAAAGTGTCTAAAAAGAGAGTGATTTATATGCAAAAAAAGTGCTCACTGAACGACTTGGCACCTTGCAACCCCTGCGACAATGAACAAAATGGCAGGAGGGACCCTCCATCACCTTTTTTGCCCCCTCCTTCCCAGAAGCTAGAGTCCCTTACTTCAGCACACCCCTCCCCCCAGTGTCATGAGGTGGTATGGAATAACCTCCTAGCCACACCCACAGGGCTCTGCCCCTTCACAGCTACTGCAAAAAGTTAACTCTGTCCTGGTCAAAAAACCGGACAGGTTTGCATTATAAAATGTAATTAGATATTTCCTGCCACAGAATACACACACTTGTAATATAGTGATACTGAAGTCAACCAGTTTATCACAGACAGTTGAAAACACTTCATTAAGATAGTTTTCTCACATTAATGTACAGTCTAAAATACTTGGTAGAGAGATATAGTAATACTACGTACACTAGAGCATGGTGCTAATAACACCAAGGTTGTGGTTTTGATCCCCGTGTGGACCATTCACTTAAGAGTTGGACTCGGTCCTTGTGGATCCCTTCCAACTCAGAGTATTCTGTGATTCTGTGATTCTTCAGTCAGATAGGTCAGTGTTTTGGCTTAAGACATATGATATTCATGTAGAGAGCAACAGCGTATTGTTCATAAGGTTACGAAGCAAAAAACAGACTGCATTTGAAATTAACCTATAGGTTTCACCCAGCAATTTTAAGAAGTCCTACCTTTAAAATTTCAGTATAAAGGATTATTTTATAAAACAAACAACTGAAATATTTACATTCCATCAACAGTGCCAACATACCAAAAAATTGTAGCTATGAACTGTACCACACCCTCCCCACAAGGCTACCTCTCTGCATGTTCTATTTGGTATTTGCTGATTCACAGACACAATCGAGTCATTCTTGCAACCCTTTGGAAGCTACACATCTTTGCATCTTTCCACTCCTTCAAGATCTGGAGACAATGAAGTTGGATGTGCCTGTCTTTGAATGCCTCATTACTGGATATTCCAAAGAAAAGAGCCCTTTGAAGGCAGAGTTTTTCACCAATCAGACATTACTTAAGTACATTAGCTCTGCTATGCACTTTATCAATTTAACTCATTTAATACCCACTTCCCCACACAATCTGCACTGTACCTAAGTTACTCATTTTCATTCCTCTTGCTCTAAGAAGAAACAAGCCTCTTTCCGCTCCAACTCATGAAAATCCAAACCAACTACACATCCCTTGATTTTACATCAAATCCATTATCAACACCTTTCCTACCTCTTCTATAGGATAGGATCAGAGTTGTACCTAAGACTGCAGTATTCTTTTTCCACAGTTCTTCTCATCAAACCCTCTATACAGAATTCCTTCTGTTACCAAAAAGCCTCTAAGGTGGCTTGTACTTTCTCTGATTGGCTACCGAAAACAGAAGGCAAGCCTGACAACCAGATTCACCCCAAAGAAACAGCACAAGTACACATCAAATTCTTTCCTGAGAGCTCTACAGATGGAATCTTGTACTCTCCTGCTGCCAAGGTACATCCTGTGGAGCCCAGCACACTCCCACTCTCAGGAGACTGGCATGAATTGATCTGGGAAAACAGCTCTCCATAGCCAGAGCACACCAGCCTGCTACACAGGAAATTACCATAAAAGTGATCTATGTCAATTCTTTTAAGTTGTTCTGAGACCAAGACATGACAAGGGGTAAGGGAGAGGAATATACCTAAATTAAAGGTGGTTGAAATGCTTATGGAATCAAAGGATAACCAACAAATGCTTAAAAAGAAGTGTTTAAAGAAGTAAATAGGAGAGTCCCATTTCAGGATATGAAATCATTGGTGCTAGTCCTGCACCAATGCTACCATCTCACCTCTCACATGGCCACGTTTTCCACGGTCTGAAGGCCTGTCTCCTTGATTGTTGCCCACTCCATTCTCTTCAGCTCTAACTGCGGAGAGAGGACAGTTTAAGAGACTCATACATGAGACAGTATAGCCATCTGCTTAACCTGAATCTCAAAAGAAAAGGCAAGATTTTAAAGTCAGCTGGTTAATACATCTCAGTCACCCCTCTTCTTTGGAGCCTAGCTACAAGCAAGTTATGTTTACCTTGCACTAGACAATTAGGAAGTGTAAGTGTAGAAGACCCTTCTGGAAGAGTTATTACAAGGAGATGAGGATTTATTTCTCTTAAGAAAGCTTTCCTGCCTAGAAAGAGGCATCTATCCCAGAGACAGTTTTAGATGTTTTCTCCTCCCACATTCCAGAGAAGCTGACTCCCTGGGTACAAGAGAAGATGAGTTCTTGCAGACATGTCTGAAGACCCCATGGCGAGGGGGGCCGGGGATGATAAAAGTCCAAGAAGAACAGGGGGTGTGTCTTTCTTAGGCCTGGTGCAGTTTTTGTACCGAGATGTTTAGTGTTCTCGACTTTGGAAAAAAATTCTCCTAAATCCTTCCACTGCCTGGTATTTTGGGGGTACCTGCATGCATTTAACCTTTACAGGAAGCAAAATATCTAATAAGAGGGAAATGCCCCTCAGCAGACACACTTCATTTGGGTTGGGTTTTTGGGGGGGAGAAAGGCAGTGTTTTGCAGCCTACACTATTAATTATGGTCTCACCTCTTTAATGAGGTAGGAAATAAAGCTGCCTCATACTATGCTTTCTCAATAACAGGCTGAGTGGCAACAGTGAAAGAATAACCAAGAACACCAACTCTTCTGTCTGCCAATAACACATATCCCTGTACAACCAGGGAAACTCAAAAGAACTCTCCTCTGTATTTAAATCAGAGGGATAACAATAGAGTGAAGATGAGGCATTAGAAAAGCACTGCACCTTAACTATTTAATGGAAAACTCCCAATGAAGTACTCCAAAAGATGGCTGGTTCTTTGAGGGGAAAAAAAAGACTGGCCACTTAAAACACTGCTGAAATTTTGCACTGCACAACTTTTCCTAATGGCAGCAACAAAACCATTAATGCCTGGACTGGGAAGAGATATCAAGATCTGGTAACGACCTGAAAAAAATCTTTAATTCCAGTTTACAAAAAGAGACAAGCAGCATCTGGCTCTGGAAAAAATTTTGCCCCTCACTTTTATTTTGATGGATCTGATTTCAATGTTTCTAAGCATAGCTGTAAATTTTATTACTATTTTTTCCTATCTTTGTCATTATTCTACAAAGATTCACAATGTCATCACTGGCACAATACTTGAAGATATTCCAATAATTAATTAGAAGAATTGACTAATATTGTAAATATTTTTCCTGCTTTTAAGTGAAAAGCTAAACATATTTTTTTTATTCTGGTTTCTCTGCTCATCTATCAGTGTTGTGTATGGCCCTTACAGGAAATGTATATAGCTTTGATACTGATGATAAAACTTAAGCGGAAAAAGCAATGTGCATCTAATGTGATGCTACCTACCTTGGAAACATCAGTTTGCTTTTGTACAATGCATTATTGCACCTGTATAAGCTGTAGAAAAAATTTAAATGTTTCAATCCACGAAGAACTTTCTGTGTTGTAGAAACTCACCTTTGGTTGGCTTATGAGTAACATATGCTAGAGAGTAATAATGATCCCAGTCTTTTCATTCCCCTTATAAAAAGATGAGAACATCTTCAGGTTCTCCCACTCATAAAAGGAGATGTAATCAAAGCTGGATAATTTTTTCATTAAAAGAAAAAAAAGTGTATCAACTGTGCAGCAAGATATTTGCTTTTCAAGCAGTCTTACAAAGAGTCAATTATAAAACTTAGAAAAAGAACAGCAATTTGTACAAGATTCAATCAATCAATCAATTCAATCAATCAAAAAAGGACAGAAATTTAAATTGAGTGTCTCTGAATAAACACAGACCATCCCAAAACCAAGTCACATTGACACATCGAGCATACCTGTTGCATAAACAGGTTATGATCCCTTTCAGTGCTGAGCTATAGCTTGGACAGACTTTACTCCATTAAGCATTTGCTCCTTACTCAGCCAGTTTCAGCTGCAAGAAAAGTTTTTGAATCTTTAAAAATGAACCCCTGTACGTACACTCTCGGCCACGGCTGCCTCCTCTTCCCCGTCTGTTGGAACTTCCCCATCTGCGGCTCATTTCTCTGTCCCCTCGTTTCTCTCTGTTCTCTTTGTTTTCCAAACCTTCCTTTCCAAGGCTTTTCTTCTTTCCCCCTACAGTCTCCCAAGAAGTCTATTTGGATAGAAGTAGATACAAAAATCAAAAAGGAAGAGACAACTCTCAGTGCATACTTCTACCTCACTCCCTTCCAGCTCATGGGAAAAAAACAGATATTTGCATAACATCACATATGTAAAACTTGCAAGCTACATTCACACAAATAGAAACATAAGCTGTGTTTTTGGAAAGAGATGAAAAAACCAATTTTTAAAAGTTGGATTTTCTTATGGAATGTGAGAATCCCAAATATTTCTGGCTATAATGGCCTTTTACTAGTTCAAGGAAGCCTAGATACCACTACAACATAGAAAATCTGCAAAGCAAGCAACAGTTTCCCTCTCAACTACCTCCATAAATCTAGCAAGGGAGCATGTACAGATCTATCCTTTTCTCCAAAGGTAATGAAAAAATGCTTATAAGCATCATTGAAAAAGAGACTGCTGAGTACATGGCTGGGAGGTAACCATTATCCAGATGTACTAGAATTCAAGTACCAAGAGATAGAATGACAAAACAATAACTTGGGAAGACTGGAGCTTTAGCTTTAATATTAAACTCCATCTTTAGACCCCTGGTGGCCTAGTGGTTAGCGTGCAGGACTTTCACTGCTGCGACCATGGGTTCGATTCCCCGGTCTCCTGGCCTGATGGAGGTCGTTAGCCCTGTGTGGCCATCCATCTATGAGAAGGACACTCTAAACAAACCTACGTCCTGAGGACCTCACTGCCATTGTCCAAGCTTGCTTGGCCCCGGCAGATGAACCTTAGGATTAAAGGGTGGGCTCAGTTCAGCGCAGGCTGTGTCTCACCTAAAAAATCCATTGCGCAGGCTGGAAAGGTAAAAAGACCTTTCCCCAAATCTTCGTTCGCGAAGATGGGCCATTAAACTCCATCTTTAAAATAAATTCAGGGATCATATCAGCTCTATAGAAGTTGAAAATAAAACAACTAAAACACTCTCCAAGAATAGCACAGCAACTCATATATTATACAATTGTGTGGTTAGTCTATTGAGCCATTAGATGCAAAGGAAAGAAGAAAGGTATTATTTGCAAACCATTAAGATGGCAGATAGGTTTATGTATATGTCCCCATCTCTAGGAGTTTATAGTCTAGGTAAGATATTTGAGTGGTAAATTTGCATACACAGATGACGCGGCACTACATAAAACCATAACCTCTGACAGGCACCTGCAACCAACAAAAAAGATTGGCTATCAATACTTTCAGGTCATGTCCTATCTCAGAAAATCACAGAATATCCTGAGTTGGAAGGGACTCACAAGGACCATCGAGTCCAACTCTTAAATGAATGGCCCATACAGGGGTTGAACCCACAACCTTGGCATTATTAGCACCATGCTCTAACCAACTGACCTAATCTCAGGGTCAAGGTGAAGTGCAGACAGTACAGATTAGAAGTACAAAACTACATATTTGAGCAACACCACGTTATTTGTGAGGCAGAAAACTGTTTCCCCAGTAACTATGTAACTGTATTACGCACTAAAACACTTCTAAAGTTTTAGACATTTCACAGAAGAAAAAAAAAATACCTGCACTGACAACTGAAGAACCAAGTTATATAGTTCGGAATGCACTTCTATTTCACTGATGGGCATGATGCCAAAAGATCTTCAACCATTTTAAGAAATACCCAAAACTGGATGAGTCTGCAAAGCTTAAGAGGAAGCAGTCTCTCCTTAGTAAGGTTTTACATGACTTGGGAAAGATCAGTAAAAGGATGTCTATGAAAGCATTGGATCCATGCTTTCCCAAATTATAATTTTGAGGAAAACCTCACAAAGTTGGGCATGTCCTTTGAGATACAGTATGGTGCTACCTTTGGGCACGGAAATCCATCATAGACTATTGAAGTCATCTCTTTTTGTAAGGGAGTTAACTGATTACAATTTCAGCTGAGGATGCCTGAGGCAACCCAAATGACAACTGTGGGCCTGACCTTCAAAAATATGTAACAGAAGCCTTCTTGCTGGCCTGATCTTAGATGGAAAGAAGAATAATCTGAAAGGTCCCCTTTGTTCTATCTTGAAAGGTTTAGGAAGTAACACATGGTCAGGCATAAAATGGATCTTATGCCTGTAGGAAGTTAAATGAATAGAAGTCTTGGCCAAAGAAACACGCCCTACTCTACTCTCATCCGCAAGCCTCTGTCTATCCAAAGCCAGACTGACACAGCTGTTGCAAGTCTTCACAAAGACTAACAGTCACACAGCATAAAGCCTTAAAGATCACAGCATTAAAAAAAAAAAACCAACAACAAAACTGGCAGAGTACCAAAGAAATTATAAATAGACATTCTAGCTACCACTCTTGTTCTTTTAATTCCTCAATTTGGATAGACACTTTTTCTTCCAAATGAGGTAAAAAAACCTTCTAGAACATCAAAGCAGAGTGAAACTAGAAAAAGAGATTTGGAAATCTGCATTCAGAACTAGTACCACCTCTGCTTCCAACCTTACATCAAATTCACTGTTAAAATGTTCTGGAGTATAATGGCCTTCAAGTTAGAGGTCCACAAATTTGCATAAAGAAGAATAAATTTATTCACACTCTGATGTGGACCCCTTCTAATTAATACTCCTTCCTTCTTGAGCCTTTCAAGTTCTCTGTATTTGTTTGAGTTGCATTTTGTCTACAAAGTGCAGTGGGTTCAGAGGGATTGTCAAAAGAGCAGAACATATTGATATGTTCCTTCTAATTGATGAGTTCAGGAAGTTTCTTCCCTGTCATCACTTAGAAAAAATTTGCTGAAGAAAGCATTTAAAACTCTCTATCAATCAGAAAACTATTTTAACTAGAAAATGGCAAATACAAGAAGTACAAGAGAACACAAAACCATCACATTACCAACACAGATTTAATCAAGATGAGATGCTCTCTTCTATTCCCAACTTGCCAGTTTGCTCAGTATCATATATTTCTGTGTTTTAGATGACCTCACCTCTGATAAATGAAAAGGGGATAGGAAAGAAAGTCCCCTCAGTCAGAACACTATATGTTCTAGATTTAAGGTGTGTGGGGGTAGGTTTCCTCAATAACAATAAGACAGACTACACATCCTAACAAATCACAGGAACTACTGAATATTCAACATTAAGAAAGGAAATCCAGGTTTCTTTCCCAATTTAGATGAGATGGAATCTAGTATACTGTCTTGGACAAACTGTAGCAAGTCCCTCCAGCAAAAGCTTCAACTGCAGCAAGATATTTTCCTGGTATCTCTTGGGATAGAAAATTGCTCAGTGCAACATTCTAAGTGACATTATTTGTTGGTATATACACATTGTTTAGTCTCCTCTTTCTGGTTTTCAATGAAGTCATGCAAATGAGCAACAGTGAATGGATACTTGTATCCTCTTCTGCCATTAGTAGCATTGCCAATGCAACTTTCAGATGTGGAAACCTCCACCACCTTCAATACTGGCAATGCACACCTACAGCAGTTGCACAACTTAAAATATCTGCCTGCCCTTTAGGTTTATAAAGACTGTCCTTTGTGGCAAACACTTAGACTCAGGTCTCATGGTTGTGAGGTTCTACAAACATTGCAGCAAAAAACAGGCCTATGTCTGACAGAGCAATGATTTCTGCTGCAGTTAAAATTGTTGCATGTAAATGAAAGCCAAAAGATTCTGCAACAGACCAGCTAAACACCCTCAATGTTTTCAAGGTTCAGCCTACTCTAAGGTATTCATGAAGTAGAAAAGTTGCCCTGGTCTCCATTTCCTTCAAAAGAATTTGGAGACATGGAAATTGAAAGCTTCCAAAATATGACTTTCTCAATCACTTCTAAGAAGTAGAAACAGAAAGATTGGTTTAATAGGAAAGTAAAACCTTACCGTGTCTGAAATTCCTTCCAGCAATATGTTAATTGATCTGTTCATGTCCCCATTACAATCATGTAGTGCCACTATGCACTCATCCTGGTTTTTCCCCGTCACTTCCATAAGCTGGCAGTAAGAGTCAGATATATTAAAATATCCAAATTATTTTCATAAGAAAATAAGAGTTAGTACCACCACAGATTCCAAAAAAATGCATAGCTACTGTCAGAGCAAAATAAAATATTAAATAAAGGTAAACACAAATTAAATGATAATCAAGAAAGCACTCTTTCACTTTTTTTCCCCCTTTAACATTATGCTTGGAAATTTCCTATGCAGAACTTAATTCTTATCCTTCCCACCAGCATAGCTACAGGCACTGTTGATGAGGGTACTTTGGCTTCAGGAAGTACAAGACTTCACTTCTGGCACATCAATAAAACAAGTTTATAACAACAAAAAGCACTTAATGCTTCAGAGGAGGTTTTACAAAGAAAAAGTAAAGACATTTGTTTGTCTGCTGCATGAATGCATTCAAGATAATTCTCCTTCTGGGTGTACTCCTCAGTTCTTTGTGAGTGGTGATGGGTTCACTAGGACAAAATCACCAATATCCACAGAAGAACAGGGACACAGATTCTCAATACTGCTTGAATTAATGGTCTCAGCCATAACTGGGTAAAGGAAGTTTGAGCATCTACACTCAGAAAACTCATCACGGTAGAGGAAATGGTGTGAGATTTCATTTTCACAGTGTAATTTATCATTTTAATGCATACACACATCTGGGAGGTCAGATTTTTTTTTTAAATAATACCTAAATTTACCTTTAAGTTATGATTCTATGATTTTTACTTTTCCTGAAAAACAGACAGTATATTGGCAAACTCAGTTTACAAAGGTGACATTTTTCCCATGTGCATGTACATGTGGACAAGCTGAATGCACACTCTATTCTGACAATCATTAAGCATCAGGACCATACTAAAGAGATATAGTCTGGAAGAGATTAGCACAGATGAGTTTTGGCTTAAAAACCACCAAAGGAAAATACACCAGTATAACTATATAGTCATAGTTATATTGCCACACAGATTCTTGAAAACAGACTTTACAGTGCAATAAGAGCACCTTTTTCTAGTTAAACTTCTGTTCTTATGAAGAAGGTTTCATCTAAATCAGAAACAGATGCTCTAGCTCCAAAACACAAGTCAGTTTTGTTGCAGGGCATAAAAACTCTGTACCATAAGAAACATACTTGTTTCACTTTATCTTCAAAATCTGCATCGTTCTTATCATAGATCATCTGAGCAAAGCGAATCTGTTCTGCTGTTGCCTGAAAAACAAAAAAGGGGAACCCATCACTTCTGTCAATCTGCTCGTTATACCTCCTGCAGACTTACTTGTTATAAAGCAAAAACAAATTCAACTTCATCTATTGGAAGTCACTTTCTAAACCCACACATTAGCATGAATCATCACTTTGCAAAGCACTGTAACACAAGGAGATAAGGGCTTGAGGTCACATAATATTGTACAAAACAGAAGAGCCCCTCAATGTTAAAGATCAGTCCAGAAAACAATAAGACGATTTCCCAGGGGAGCACCTCTAGATTGAGAACTGAGGCAATTCTTGAGGAGAGACCTCATCACAGTCTACAACTTCCTCATGAGGGGAAGAGGGGGGCAGGCACTGATCTCTTTGTGGTGACCAGTGACAGGACCCAAGGGAATGGCCTGAAGTTGTGTCAGGGGAGGTTTAGGTTGGATAAGGTTCTTCACCCAGAGGGTGGTTGGGTGCTGGAACAGGGTCCCCAGGGAAGTGGTCACAACCCAAAACTCAAGGAGCGTTTGGACAATGCTCTCAGGCACACTGTGTGACTCTTGGGGATGATCCTGTGCAGGGCCAGGAGTTGGACTTTGATGATCCTTGTGGGTCCTTTCCAACTCAGCATGTTCTGTGATTCTGTGTGAATTGAATATAAATTTGAGAAGTACCTAACAAGAGAATAATGAGTTGCCAGGAGCAGAGACATTTTGCACTCTGTAACACAGGCAAGCACACAACTTTGCTGCTGAGAACCAAGACAATGGAGTAAGAGCTTAATTTCAATCTCCCAGATATTCAAAATAATTTCAGTCTGCTAGTGAAAACCCATCTTCATTTCACTTTGTGAAGGCACTGCACAAGAAGTTCAGGATTTTGTGACTTGCAAATATGCTGCATCATGCTATAGAACACAACATGCATCTAACAAAACTTTTCCCACCCACCCAAATTCCTTAATTGACCAGAAATCTTCTAGCATCATGAAGCTGGCATATGAAAGAGTTGAGCTCTGAAGACACTAAGGTCACAGGACAGAAATCCTGACAGGGACAGGCATAGAATTCCTCACTATCAATAAATGTTGCTGAAGAACGCAAAGCTCCTCCAGAGACAAGAATACAGGGACAACTTAATGCTGTGCTGGATAACTAAGCAATTAAAGCAAGATATCAAACATAGTCTTCCAAATTAGACCGTGATATCCCCCCCATCTTTTCTCAGTTTTTACTGACTTACAGAAGAAAAGCATGCTCACTTTCAACTCAAAGAAGATTATATGGTAGCACATACCTGTACTACTTGTTTCTGTGGTTGTGTTGGCTGTGTGGTTGAAATTTGCATTTTGTCCCGAGTGCCCCGGGTACGTTCACTGCTCACCGAAGTCATCATATACAGTATATACAAAACAATGTATGTACAAAATAGAAAATCTGAAAGGAAAAAAAAGAGTTAAGGCAGGGAACTGATTTGATACCCATATAACATACAAATGTAGTAGCTTAAACTCTTCCTGCCTTTACCACAAACTCTATACAGACTCCTGAGAAAGCAGCTTTAATATACTATTATTGAATTTATTGAAATCTTTATAGTAAAGGGTGAAATAAAGTAGATAAAAAGTATTTTTGTCAGCTCACTGGGATCTGTCTAGATCTCTACTTCCAGACAACATCAAAATCTCACAGGTTTTCCCAGTTATTTAACATATAGACTTTTCTATCTGCTACTCGACCAAAATTCCAGTTCTAGTTGTATCACTCCTTAAATTTCTTTAATGTCTGCTGTCTTGTTTTGATGCCTGGAATTTAACCACTCTCATACCCACTCAGAATGCTAACACAGAAGTCACATTCATAAACTAGGCCATTCCTTTCTTGTCTATCATTAAACTGCTTTCCTGCACATATACATGAGGTCATGGTCAATGCCCACTCTACTTCTTACCTCTCATTTATAAGAGAAATTATGATCCTGAATTAGAGAACTATACCTCTATGTATTGGGTCTGGCTGAGCTGGAGTTCATCTCCCCACAGTAGCCCTCACAGCGCTGGGCTTTGCATTGGCAGCTAGAAGGGTGTTGATAACACACCGGTGTTTTGGCTACTGCTGAGCACAGCACCAGCACTGTAACATTCCTTCCTTAGCTGAGGGCAAGATCCTGAGAGGGGACCCAGGTAGGCCAGCTGACCCAAACTGACCAAAGGGATATTCCAGACCATAGGACATCAACTCAGATATAAAAGCTGAGGCATGGAGCAGGAAGGGGGGCATTCATTGTCTAATGGCTGCCTGCTGAGAAACTGTCACGCATACCCAAGCCCTGTTTCTTGGGAGTGGCTGACCATTGCTGCTCATGGGAAGTAGAGAATAAACCCTGCTATCTTTCACTTCTGTGCGCGCAAGCTTCACTTTGCTTTTTGCTTTAAATAAACTGTCTTATCTCAACCCACGAGTTGTTTTGTTTTTTCCCACCTTGCTCTCTCTCCCCTGTCCCTCTGGGAAGGGGAGTGATAGAGCGGCTGGGTGGGCACCTGGTGTCCAGCCAAGGTCAACCCACCACACTCTACCACAACTAGCTTAGGAATTTAGCGGTCTCTGACCTTTGTAAGGAGCTGTATCCTAATCAACTAAGGAATTTATGTTTTCCTGGACTTTGCCATTTTGATTAGTTTAGTGTCAGTAAATGAAGATTAAAAACTCGAGCTAATTGAAAAACGTTGAGTGGTGCACCTAGAGGAAATTAACTCAAGAAGGCCTGCACACTGCAGAAAGCTTAGTCAATAGAAAGTTTTTTGCTAAGAAGCAAATTCAGTAAAGAATTGTTTAAGTAGAGAAGAGACTTAGATTATCTTTAACTAGTGATGAATGTAAGCGTCTTAGTGATAGCTAGAACAGATAGGAGGCTAGAGGTCAGCAAAATTAATCACACATGCTAGGGAATCTTGCAACTTGAGGCAGGTCACTCAAAGGACACAAGGAAGACTTCGATGATGAGGAAGTCAGAAGCACCCTTTAAAGCCCCCTCCTCACATTCCTGCCATAAAAAGGATGCTAGACGGCAGTCTTGCTCCATGAAAGAACAGCAAGATGAAACCAGAGAATGGGTTTATGATGTAATGGGGTGGGTGGATCTTTGGAAGGAAGTTTCAGATGTTAAAATGTATTTAGATCCTGGAAAACTGTATCAAAATGGGCATGTATAGCGAATTATTCCTCATGACCCCCAGTATGCTGCATTAAAGGAATGTCCAATTCAATGACACTTTGTGGTTGGATTTGATTACTGTGTTTCATTCCTTACCTTTAAATACAGCCTCTGAAGCCAATATTTTTATGTTCTCCCTCATGCTTAAAGAAATTATTTACAAAACTATCTATTACCCTGCTTTATACATACCTTGGTTGTATGGCAACAAAGAAAACAACAAGAAAAACCACACCCACGCACATCAGTACTATCCCATTTGTGGCAGTCAGCTTTCATTCTCATTCATCCTCTATCATTAAAATTAATTTGAAACAAGAAATGTATTATTTCTCCTGTGTTTTTACAACATCTAACACAAGGTTAATTGACAAGTATGGTTTATAGTAGTTATGATAATTGGAAAGAGATCTCTTGACTGGTCAAAACAGTCACGTCAACTGCCTGCTTTCTGTCCCATGACACTGGGAAGTAAAACCTGCAAATTTAGGGAACTAAGGACAACCTACAAGTGGTGTACCTGGGCAGAAGGAGATGTGCAAATAAGCAGCAAAGTGCTTTTACTGCAGCCCTGTGGCTTATTAATGTAATATAATAAAGCATGACTCAGCAGCTCAGATGGTAAGCAGCCAAATTTGTTATTTAAAGGAAAATGCCACCTTATATACCCTTTGGGGAGCATGTGATTTGCCTAGACCCAATCACATTAGAACACATATTGCCCATGTGTGTCAGTGTACTTCTGGAGACTATAAGACCCAGAATGCTTCACCCTGCATCCCTGGGGTATGCCTCCTACACAGCCCCGATGTATGAACATGCTTCAGCAGAAAACTTGTCAGGGCAGCAGCTTTGGTGCAAGCTGACTAGCACCGAATTTGGTGCACAATAATGCTCAGATGAAAACTGAGCACACCGCTGTGATTGTATGGACAAGGATGTGTTCAATACCCAATTGCTCACTAGCATTCACAAGGAATGGGTCATCATCATCATGGCTAGGCTTCGCGAACGAAGATTTGAGAAGGATTCTATCCACACTTGCTACAAGCACACTGATGGCTAAAAAGGCCGATGCGAGATAGACAAGTCTGGTGGCAAAAGGCACAAGAGAAAGACTCCTTAGGTGGTATTGGCAAGACACGGTTCTTTCTGCATTGTCTTTTCTCCTCAAGAATGATTCTGTGTGTGTTGTCAAAAGAAGTAGCAGCATTATGTATAGTATGTCTCCATGTCTCCCGATTGGAGGCCAGAGTAGACCAATGATGGTGATCAGTATGGTCAAAGCTGAGATATTGTTTCAGGGAGTCCTTGTATCTCCTCTTCGGGGCTCCTCTCTTGCGGCAGCCAGTGGCAAGTTCACCATAGAGCACGATCTTAGGGAGGCAGTAGTCCTTCATCCTTGAGACGTGCCCTGCCCAACGCAGCTGTGTTCTCAGCAACATGGCCTCAATACTCGTAACCGCTGCCTATTCAAGAACAGACGCATTAGTCATGTAATCAGTCCAGTGGATGTTTAGGATTGTACGGAGACAGCGTTGATGGAAGCGTTCTAGGAGACGCAGGTGGTGGCGGTAAATGACCCATGATTCAGACCCATATAAAAGAGTAGACAGTACCATGGCTCTGTAAACACTAATCTTGGTACTTTTCTTCAGGTGTTTATTACACCAAACTGTTTTACGGAGTTTTTTGAAAGCTCTATATGCCTTTGCTAACGTGTTGTCTATCTCTCCGTCAATCTTACCGTCCGAGGAGATGATGCTTCCCAGATAATTAAACTGTTGGACTGACTTGAGCTCTGATTGGCCAATGATGATGTGGGGATGATGGAAGACTTCCTGAGGTGCAGGTTGGTAGAAAACTTCTGTCTTCTTCAAGCTGACTTCCAGCCCAAAAAGCTCAGCAGCCTCTGCAAAGCAGGATGTTAAACGCTGCAGAGCTGCTTCTGTGTGGGAAACGAGGGCATCAGCATAAAGCAGCTCCCGGACAAGATGGTTTAAAGTCTCAGTATGGGCCTTCAGTCGCCTTAGATTGAATAGGCTTCCATCGGTACAATATCAGATGTAGATACCATTTTCTTCGTCGAGGTCTGCCGTGGCCCTTTGGAACATCATGTTGAAGAAGATTGTGAATAGGGTTGGTGCAAGAATGCAACCTTGTTTCACACCACTGGTTATTAGAAAGAGTTCAGAAAGTGCATTGCCATATCTGACTTGACCATGCTGATCCTCATTTTGAGGAACTTGGGGGGACAACCTAAACGTTCAAAAATCTGCCACAGACCTTTTCTGCTCACAGTAGCAAAAACTCTGGTGAAATCAACAAAAGTTACATAGTCCTTTATTCTGTTCCCTACACCTCTCTTGCAGTTGACTGAGGTGCTCCTATTGGCTCTGAAACCACATTGGCTTTCAGGTAGAATTCCTTCTGCTATAGCGGGTATTAATCTGTTCAAAAGTATTGATTTTACCACCAGTGGAGAGCAGAGTAATACCTCGGTAGTTTGAACAGTCTGATTTATCTCCTTTCTTCTTATACAAGGTGATGATGACTGCGTCACGAAGGTCTGATGGTAGTTCGCCTAGTTCCCAACAGCGCACCACAAACTCGTGAAATTTAGCATGGAGTGCTTGGCCTCCATGCTTCCAGACTTCAGGTGGGATTCCATCAACCCCAGCTGCCTTGCCAGTTTTCACCTGCTGTATGGCCTTAAGAGTTTCTCCCATAGTAGGGGCAATATCCAATTCATTGTTCACCTGTTGTTGTGAAATGTACTGAATTGCTGAGTCTTGAACTACACAGTTGGTACTGAAAAGAGTCTGAAAATGTTCGGACCATCGTTTCAGAATGGAAATTTTATCTGTGAGAAGCATTTGACCATCTGCACAAAGTAAAGGGCTTTGAACATGGTGTGTAGGTCCGTACACTGTTTTCAAAGCCTCATAGAATCCTCTGTAATCACCCGAATCTGCGCATAATTGAATCTTTTCTGCTAGATTGATCCACCACTTGTTCTGGATGTCTCGAAGTTTCTGTTGGAGCTTACTACATGCAAGACAAAAGGCTGCTTTTCTTACATAACAAGATGGCTGAGCAAGGTGTGCTTGGTGGGCAGTTCTCTTCTTTACCAACAATTCCTGGATCTCTTGATTGTTTTCATAAAACCAGTCCTTGTTCTT